TCGATTTTAGGTTGGGTTTTGTGTTTTAGGTTTTGATTTCCATATCGTGATTTGATTTCAGCTTACGCTCTGATTTCAGGATATTGGGATTAATTTTGGTTAGGTTTTTGATTTCGGAATTTAATATTGTTATGGTTTTGATATCTGTGTTCAAGTTTGATTTCTGGGATTTGATCTTAGGTGTGACCTGAAGCAATCGATGATATGGTCTGTAGTTGAGCCAGAATCGGTAGATGGTGGTGATGTTGGAATCGATGGGTGGTGTTTTTCGGTGGCCAGTGGTGGTTATTGGTGGGTGGTGGTTATTGATGGTCTGTGGTGGTTTTCAGTAACATGTGGTGGTTTTCGGTGGCATGTGGTGTTTGTATTGCAAGTAGGAGTATGAATGGGTCCCACATGTTTATAAATCATTTAATTGTTTTTATTTAATTAATAAATAATAAAAATAATAATTACAAAAATGAAAAAAAATACGAAGCGCAATATAGTCTTTTCATCTCTAGGAGGGACGAAACACGCAAGAAAATCATAGTATGAGGACGATCCGAGTGCAAAACAAAAGTTAGGGACCAAACACGCAAATTTGACCAAACCACAGGGACGATTTCAGTAATTTGTTCTTTAGACTTATAGTAATTCATATATTTGTGTTTTACTAGGGGAAGGTTTGATACCCTTTTTTACAAGATTTGAAGTGTTGAGAGAACTCATTTTTGACAAAAGTGAGTTAATCTTGTGGATTTTTAAAGTACTTTGATAGGGAATTCCATATCTCAAATGGATTGGAATGAACCTAGGCTAATTAGGTTGCATGTTCCCCTATTGTATGTGATATGTTTTTGGTTACTATGTTCCATTATGTGTATGAGAATTTATGATGTTTAAATGCTAGATTCTTATTCTTTTGATGTGAGTGGTGTGTTAGGGCCTTGATAGAAAGAATGCTTTGTGATGATTCTATGTGATGGATGCATGCCCTGTTTTCTTGGAAACACTTGTCTATGATGATTAGGACAAAGCATGCTAGTGATTTTGTGAAGCCATAATAATGATATATGCATGAACTTTTATGTTATGTAAAATGTTTTAACTTGTATTTGCTTGTTTACATGTTTACATGAGAAGTAACTTGGGAAGTAATATGCTAGAAAGAGATGATAATTAATATGCATGATTTCTTATGGATGTCATATGTGTAATCCCTTAAAATATGAAATAATAATTAATTAATTAAAAAAGGAATACACTAGTGGGGCAATGGGTAGCAACCTAGACTTAGGTGTGTATCATATCTGGATAATATGATGGCCTTGTAGGTTGAAAGATACCTATAGGATATGAGCTTATGCCAACTTTGATGCTGAATGGTTTTTCTAGACAACCACTCAGGGCATGGTCCTGGTGCACGTTGGTATACCCGGAATAGAGTGGTGTTGACGATTGATGGAACGTCTACATAAACAACACATGGGATTTGGGAGGTGTAACTTGGTGGAATAGGCACCGCTCGTACCAATCCTTAACGACAACACATGCACTAGTATATGCAACATCGGAGTAGCGAACGCAGCAAAACCGGGGGCAATGTTACGGGTGAGAGTTGCACCTCACTTTGTGCATTGGGTGGTGTCAGTCATGTTAGTAGCGAGTGGGATGCTTACCTTGGGGTTACTAATTAATGTTGTTAGATCTAAGTTGTTGTCCCATATTCTTCATGTTTGAGAATGTTTGAATGGAAGGAATTCATAAATTTAGCAACTTTATGTATTCTAAGGGTCCCTTGAGTATTATAAGGTTCAGATCTAGAATTTGGTCGAGTATTGGATCCATGCATGTGAGTTTTGGTATTATCTCTTCACTTTTGACTTACAATGGATGGAGGACATGCATGAGGCATGCATATCCATAACGTAGTCATTTTTATCGGCCTTAGGAGTCCTTTAGCTTCTAGACAAGTGGGAGTTAGAGATTTAAAGGATTAAGGACTCAAATATTTGGATTGATGCTTCACACTGTTGTCACGTCGTGACACTTGGGGTGTCACGACGTGACCTTGAAAGGACCCCACTTATGTTGTGTTTTTTTAATGCCTACGATGTGACATAGAAAATGTTCATGTCATGGTGTTTGCTTAATGGGTTGTCTATGCTCGAGTTGGCTGAGTTGGAGCTAGTCGAGTTAGAATCGGGTCGAGTGTTCTCTCAAGACGTGACCAAGGGTTGGTCACGACATGAGGATCGATGGTTGATATTATTGACTATTGAATTTGACTTTGACCGTTGAATTTTGGCATGGGTTGACTTTTGGTCAAATTTTCAATTTGTAAAAGGTAGACTTAGGTTTTACTTTGTGTGGATTATAAGGAGGTGTGTAATACCCATTCGTTGATTGGAGGAAATTCGTTAGTTGTGGTCAGCATGACATTGTGCTAATTTATAGTCGTCTTTGTGAGTCAGGTGAGTTTTGTTAATATATCATGTAGGAAGACCAGGTGGTGGCCCATGGCTAATGTATTGAAGACGTGGATATGGCTTGCGGAAATTGTATGCAAGACCAGGGTTTGGACCTTGGTAGTTACTTATAGGATATTAATTTGTCTTTGTGATACTTGCATGGAAGACCAGGAGGTGGCACTTGGCACTTGTTTGGAAGACCTGGGTTTTGGCCTCCGACATGGCAAGGAAAGACCATGATGTGGCTCATGGTATGACGATGATTGTAAGACTATGGTTGGCACATACTATTCCATATTATATGCATGGTATATGGTATTTTCACTACTAGAAAACTGCCCTTTAATGACGCACAAACAATGACACGCATTGATTTACGATACGCATTTTTGTGCGTCCTAAAAATAATTTTAAAAAAATGAAGGATAGAGGACACGCATTTTTGCGTGCCCTAAAATTAATGTCCAATAAAAAAATTAAAAACGCGGAGGGTACCTATGTTAAAACGAGTGTCGTGTAGAGATGTCGCTTTATATTTTATGAAACGCGCGTTTTCTTCTTTGGGGGGAAATGAAACTCCCTAAAGTTTGAAAGGCCGCCATTTTATCCTCTACCTTATTTCCATCGTTCTTCTCTCTCAATCAATACCCAAAAAACCCTAATATCATCACTATTCCTCGCCAACCACTGCCAGCTACCGTCGGCCATGTCCTCTGGTGACCAATGGAAGATGTTTGCGCAACCTACACAATCGGTAAAGAGAGAGGCTGCGGCCAATTTGGCGTGACGTATCTTGATCGTCTCTCTCACACACACAGAAACACATTCCCTTTTTCGCTGCTAGGTTGCATGTTCTTTCTTTCTCTCTCCATACTTTTATTAAATCCTCCGCAATCTCACGTCTTTTTCACCAAATTCCTCTCTTTACAGCAAAACCCATATTAATAACACCCTCCGTTATCTTCCTCACTGGAATTCACCCTAATTGCCAGCTAAAAGACTAGGGTTTTCTCTTTTGCTATAGAAGAAAGGAATATGGGAACTTTGGAGTTGCGAGGTTGATGAGGAACAAAGTTACCAAAGAGCTTGTTGCTATGAAATATATAGAAAGAGGACACAAGGTATATACGAATTTCCCCATATCTATAGTCTTAATTTTACTCAATTTTAATGTTATCTTATTCCAAGATGCTTGTTTTCTTATCTGAAAACTAATATACGCTAATTAATAGAATTTTTATTCTTTTTTGGTTGTAGATTGATGAGAATGTTGCTAGAGAAAGCATCAATCATAGATCCCTCCGACATCCAAACATAATTCGATTTGGAGAGGTAATCTTATCCTATTGTGTTTTCTCTACTCATAAAGATGGTACCCTTTTCATCGCATCATGGATTGTATTTTACATGATATGTGTGGTACTTAATAGGTAGTACTCACCCCCACCCACGTTTTGTATGAGGAGCTCTCACATCGTGCAATATGTTATGCAAGTTTCCTTCCTCTAGCCTTAAAAATTTTAGGCTCATTCTTCCATGGAAGACAAGTAGGCGTGTGAAAAAGTGCTTTAAATAGACGAGGAAAAACATCAAGTGATAAGATTCTTGAGACACAGAAGTTATGTTTTGATGGGCTAGATGTTTCAGAAAATTAAATATTCCTAGACATCGCATCTTGAGACACTTAAGTTAACTTTTGCCCAACCTATATATCTCCCTGATGAGTTGCGATGGCTTTGTTGGAATGAGTACCCATTCTTTTTTCTGCCAATAGCAGATATGTGTAAGCTTGTTGGGCTGGAAATGGCCGAAGGAAACATTAAACATCTATGGGAGGGGCGAAAGGTATCGATATTAATTTCTTTTTAATTTCGGTTTTACATCAAAATAAAAGTCTTATGTTTGAATTGAACTCTGAATGACATCGATATTAATTTCTTTTTAATTTCGGTTTTACACATGATCAGATTCTTCCGAACTTGAAATTCATTCACCTCGAAAGCTTGTGCAACCTCACATCTTTTCCAGTTTACTGGGTCGCCTCTGTATTCTGCATCTTTGTAACAGTCTTTTGGTTCAACTTTGTTGCAAAAGCTTATGAATTTCTTTTGATTTGTTTTTAGTATGCTAGATTGAAGAAATCATTTGTGGTTATTGACAAGTTTCAGTTTTCATTACACATATTATGAGGTTTAACATTTTCTGCATGTGAAATTTCACAGAGAATATTTTGAAGTAGTTGACAGAACTTGGGAGACATTTGAGCAGACTTTATGGTCACATATTTCTAACTTTTTCTAACTTGCTAAAGAAAGCCCACAAACACTTGAACGTGCTTTGAGGTAGGTTTATTTTATATCAATCAACAATTCAACATCTTTAAAAAGTTATAATCTTTGTATTATTTTCTTTCATATTAACTTTCTATACACTTTTAGGGTTGTTGAAATAACAAAATAACTAAAAAGTAGTCTATTTATTTCATGTTAGACATGCAAGTATAAAGAAAAAGAATGGGATATTGAGTAGCTTGTAGGATCTGGTGGCATGCCATCATCAGATTCAGCAACTGTGACTGCTCTTGCTGCTACCGTTGGTTTTCAGTGTGGCAGTAAATTTGCAATTGATATCATACTAGCTTTTATTGTATGATTTCTCTCTCTCTCTCTTTCTCTCTCTCGCTCTCCGCTCTCTGCTCCTCTCTCTTTCTCTCTCTCTCTCGCCTCTCCTCTCTCTCTCTCTCGCTCTCTCTCTCTCTCGCGCTCTCTCTCTTCCTCTCTCCTCTCTACCCTCCTCTCTCCGCCCTCTTCCTCACGCTCTCCTCTCTCTCTACTCCGCCTCTCATCTCTCCTCCTCGTCTCATCCTCTCTACTCGCCCTCTCTCCTGCATCCTCTCTCTCTCTCCGCTCTCTCTCGCTCTCTCCCCCTCTCACTTCTCTCCCTCTCTCTCGCTCTCTCTATCTCTCTCTCTCTCGCCTTTATGTCTGTTGTGTTGAATTCTTTTTGTGATTGTGCTGTATATCTGGTAAATGAAACTACAGTTATATGGTTTGTAACAAACACGTAATGTATGATGCAAGTGGTGTTTGTAACAAACATGTACCGTTGAATCAAATACTATATGCTCTTCGTATTGACATCCCTTACCTGATAGTAGACCACTTCGTGAACTTCTCGGGCACAACCCTCCTCAGGTCTCTTTTCTTTCTTGCATTTTCATTTCTATTTCTAATATGAAAAACACATTTTTTTTTTTTTTTTTAATATTTTTATTTAACAAATTCTTTTTCAGGTTGCAGCTGGTGCATTGTTGGGGTTCCTTACAACACTTAATCTCTCAAGTTGCTACTATGGCTTGACAGTTGACTGAAGATGTAGAAATTGCAACCAGCATTTGGATTTCCTTAAATGATCCCGAAAAGGTAGTAGATTCAACTTTTTTTTAAATCATGTATTAGATGGGAATTAGTTTATATCAAGTCTTTACCACATTCTATGTAATGCAGTCCATGGCTGAAGTGGCTGAGGACCTATGGGATCATTATGACCATGAATTTGGGACTGATTATTCTGGACTCTTTAGTGCTCTTTCTCATGTGAATTATAATGTTCGTGTGGCTGCGTCTGATGCATTAGCTCTGTATTAGATGAGTACCCATAAACATTACAGGTGATTACTATTTGCTACCAATTCTTAATTGATTTATTTTAAATATGTTACAAGTATTATCTTACACTTACACATTGATATATGTTCAGGAATCTCTAGCGACTTTGTTCTCTCTCTATATCTGTGATAGTAGTGTTGGTGAGGATATGATTGATTCTGGTTGGTTAGGGAGACAAGGGAGTGCATTGGCTTTACATGTTGCAGCTGATGTACTTAGAACCAAAGACCTTCTGGTTGTTATAACTTTCTTGATATCTCGAGCCTTGGTAAAGTTTTAATTTTTTGTTCAAAGTTTTTGATAGTTAGATTACATATTATACAAATGCAGCCTTCAAACTTTTGATGATTTCAACTACAGGTTGATACCAATGTTGATGATCGACGAAGGATAACTAATGTTGGTATCATGATCATTGACAAACATGGAAAAGATAATGTCTCACTTTAATTTCCAATATTTGAAAATTACTTAAACAAAAAGGTCAGTATATGCTGTAAATCAAAGTTTTCACTCAAGGCTAAGTATGCTGTAATTATACATGTAAGTTTATATTATTTCTATCTCTCATATTTTAAATATTTCTTTTCAGGGGCGTGTTCGGGTTTTGGCATTTATAGTGAAGCTATTTTCTACTTCAAATGCAGTTGCATCTTTAACTAAAGTAATAACATCAACCACAGTTACTTTTTTACCCTTCTGTCACCCTTTATCCTATTCTAACAAATCAATTTTTTCCATATTAATTTTGAAATTAAATTACCAGTTTACACTTAATTTTCTTTTCTTTCAGTAAAATAATGTTATCATTTTAATATAATTAACTATTATTATCTTAAAACATGATAATAGAAACTAATGGAATCAAAAAACTAAAGATTGGAATGAGTTGATGGAAGACATCAAATTAGCTTTTTTAACACATGTTTATGCCTTTGACTTCTATTGTTGTATAGACTGGAATGGTGGTTTCTCTTGCAGCATGTTAAGAATGTAGCGGTTGGAACTTGGAATGGTATGTAATGAATGTGCAGGTTTTTTGGTTACATGTAAGTTTTTAAAGTCCATTGTTTCTCATTTGTCCATTTAAATTACATGGATTTGATTGTAATGAATGTGCAGGCTTTTTGGTTGTTTCTTTAAATGACAAGGATCGTTCCTATCAACAAGTTTTTGGAGCATGATCAGGCTGCTTGTTAGAATCTTTTTGTTAGGTAACTTTTTACCATTTTCTTAAAATTCGTTAAAGTGTCTCCGTACATGAGAAGAAAATAAGAGTTGTTATGGTGGGTGGGTGGTTGGGTGTATAATTGTTGTTTTATGAAATTTTGTTGTTTATTTTAGAAGATGAAATTGAATGTTTTGGTAACTTGTTTGACATGTAATGTTAGGTAACTTGTTTGACATTTAGATGAAATTGAATGTTTTGGTATATATTTGTTTTTTTATTATGTGTATTCACATTGTAAATATGTATCATAAATGCACGTCATAAATGTGTATCGTCACTAGCAACTGAAGTTTATGACACAAATGTGTGTCATCTTCATTTATGACAGGGGCTTTAATGATACGCAATGCGTGTCCTAAAGGCGCGTCGTAAGGTTACGACACGCAAATGCGTGTCGTCTTCCTTTATGACAGGGTCTTCATTGATACGCATTACGTGTCGTAAATGAGTGTCGTAAATGCGTGTTGTAAATGCGTGTCGTAAATGCACGTTGTAAATAGACGACGCGCAAAAGTGTGTCGTCTCTCGTTATGACTGGGCCTTCCTTGACACGCATTTGCGCGTTGTCTGAGCGTTTTACGACACGCATTGCGCGTCGTAAAAGGCTGTTTTCTAGTAGTGTTTGGGGAACTCGCTAAGATTTGTGCTTACAGTTTGTGATTTAAATATTTTTCAGGTACTTCACGTTCTAGAGGGAAGGGAACAGTCTAATTGCACTGCATCCCCCAATGGCTTTTCCGTATCGATCATTTTGATATACTCTTATGTTTGAAAATACAATTGATATTTATAAGATTTGGAACCAATGTTTTGATGGCTTTATGTTTTAAAATAAAAAAAAGTATTGCTATTTTCAGGACGTTTCAAGTTGGTATCAGAGCTTTGGATTGAGGGATTTGGGCACACTCTCGGGTTTGTCTAAACTCAAACTGTGGAATTCATAGACCTTATTTTGAATGAAAATATTTTTTATAAAAATGTTTTTACAACGAAAAGGGGTGTGTTGAGTGCAATCAGTCGAGCTCAAGTAAGCGGTTCCCAAAATACCCATACATGTTATGTTTTATGTTTTTCATTCTAGAAGTTAGCAAGAGGATATGCTCAAGGTTGAATGCTAGAATGCCTATTAAGAGAGATGCCGATTAGGTAGGATGCATGTTGATGTTTTGTGGCATGTAGAGTTCTATTTCTTGAATGTTGCTTGCTTTGTGCTTTGTTGGACTGAAGTTGATGTGAGTTAATTATTTCACGAATATGTTAAGCCACATGCTGCAGAGGTTAAATAATCTCAGGGTGACTGATTTAGCCCTATTGTGCAACTCTTGTTTGAGTCGAGCTGTTGTAAGGTTGATTCTTTTAGTCGAAGGATTATTTAATCTTTGTTGCATGTAATTTTATTGATGAAGTAGTTAGCTGACATTAGTAAGGGTCTTTCAGCAGCTGATGACAGCGTGAGGTGGGAATCCTAGGAGAGCCTAAGAAGTACTTTAGTGGGTATGGGGTGCTGTTTAGCGGGTATTAGGAATGCCACTATGAGAATGTGAATTAGAGGATTCGATATGATTTTTAAAGAAAGTATGGATAGGTATGGAAGGGAGTATTAGACTCGTACTACTAAAAGTACATGATTCGTACTCGAATCAAGGAAAGTCGTGAGGATTCTAAGAAGCCTATGGAATGAGGAATTCATTTGTATGTTTTGATTATTGTATGGATGCTTTTCAATATGGTGATGAGCACTCGTGGAGGAGATTCTAGTTCTGGTTTAGGCGCTAGTGCTGGTGTTGAGCCGATTGATGAGGGAATTCATGAGTTTGTTTCGTCCGAGATCACTCACGGTATTTTGGATACAACTCCTATGATGTTTGGTACCTTCAAGGAGGGGATCATCGAGCTCTTAGATGAGCGTCTCGGGGATTTTCAGGCCGAGATTGCAGCAGGCCAGCTGCGGGCTTGAACTCTCTCTTTTCGGGAGTTCAATGCTTGTGGAGCCCCAAAGTTCTTTGGGGTAAAGGACGCATTGGCAGACGACGATGGATAACTGACATGGAGAATGCACAGCGAGTTAGTTTCTTCCCTGAGGGATCGAAGGTCGGATTTGTATCTTGCCTATTGAGGGATAGACCCCGCAACTAGTGGGAGGAGGTTGGTTACACATTGGGAGCTGAGGTCGTGGTGGCCATGTCTTAGGCAAATTTCGTGGCTAGATTTAGGGCGAAGTTTGCACTGGCTATTAAGGTGCAATAGTTGGCGAGGGAGTTTCATGACCTTCACCAGATGACAGATTTTGTGGATGAGATCACCGCCAAGTTCAGGGAGAGGGGTTTCTTAGTTATGTAGTATGTTATGGATGAGGAAATAAAGAAGATCAGGTACCATGATATGTTGTAGGATGATATTCGTGATTTTGTGAGCATATCTAGCTGGAAGACATTGGAGGACATTATTGCTAGAGCCCAGGAACAGGAGATTGATTTGGAGCTTTTAAAGAACCAGAAGTCGGTTTAGACGTAGGCAACGAAGGGCTCAGCGAAGAAACCCAATATTTTTTAATTTGCGAGTTAGCGACCGACAGGGCCAGGTCCTTTGCAGCAAGTGAGGGAAACTGCATGATTGAATGTGCCGACCTAGAGTTATGGGTTGCTATAAGTGTGACAGGTTTGGTCATGTCAACATGGATTGTCCTCAGGGGGTCAAGTCCGATTTGTTTTCACTGCAACCAATTAGGCCACAAGAAGGTCGATTGTTTGGGATTTATGGGCGGGGTAGTGAGGGAGCTTGCTCTAGCTACACTGAGGATTACTAATGGTCATGAGGGAAGGGTAGAGGCTCCAGTGGTGAGGAGCCGAGTGTGTCAGTTGCAGGCCAAGGAGGCCCGAGTTCCGTCATAGGATGTTGTTGGTATGTATCATATTATTTCCCTTCATGCTTTTATTATTTATGCTTTGTGTTCGAGAAGTTAAGTTTAAGTTATTTAAGTCTCCACCTAAGAACCATATTTCTGTTATGATTGGTTAGATTTTATTATTGAGGGATTATCATATGCCATTTTGCATACTGAGGATCATGGTTAGAGAGTATTTGGATGAGTTAGTTTAGGCTTCAACATGGGAGGAATAGGCCAATGCCATGGTGAGCCTTAGTAGAGGAAGACTTAGTGTTCTGTTTGAAAGAGCAACAACCAGATTGATTATGATGGTTTCAGCTTATTGAGTCTGAGGAAGTTGCTGTACGAGCATGTTGGATTTGATTACATGATTCATAGGGATCGTCAGTGGTTGCGAGGCAATGAAGGATTAGTCAAATCATGGGTGTAAGGTTAGTTGTTTCTAAATTCACACCTTCAAGGCGTGGTTGTTGCATCTTCATGAGGGTATTTCTTCATAGTAAGTGGGTCGTTGGGTTGGCTATCTATCCGTTATCGATAGTTGGGTTATTCGTTCTTCGTCATTCGTTGAAGTCGCTCAAGGATTTTGAAGTTGTATCGGTGGAAGGTTCCTGGAGATATCAAGTTTTTGTTGAGATAGTGGGGTGTATTTATCCATATTTTAGCATGTGTGTACTCTAGGTTGGTTGGTCATGAAATTTTAGTTTTTGCAAGCTCAGGTTGGTGGCAATCTTAAGAAGTGAAACTATCGATGACTTAGAAATTTGAATGATTACAATGTTGACAGGGTGTAGATGTTTCCAAGTGGGGGAGAATCGATTGGGGTTAATGGGAATACCTCCAAGTGAAATTCAACTTGAAGTTTACTATCCATGGTCAAGTGGATAGCCAGTTCGGTTTGTGGTTTGAGCAGAGGCTTATGTAGGGGATTATGACCAGTGGTCAGTTGTTATCGGAAAGAAAACGATGGAATTGAGGTTATCCTTTCCGAGGATGTAAGCATCAACAGTGGCGCATTTTAGATTCGGGGTTAAGTTCAGATGGAGGGTTGTGTTTGGACCTCTCTACTTGTTCTTGTATAATAAAGGCTTTGAGGTTCGAAGCTGGACCTAAACACCTGTTGGGGTTTAGCACATTGGAGTTCTGGCTTGTATTGATTCTCATCTAGTATTATTGTGGATAGTTAGCAAGACTATGGGCTGGGGTCATGGGAGTGGTAAGAGTGTTGTAAGTTGTAGGGTTCCCCAAAGCATTCACTAAGATTGGTAGGCAGTTGAAGAAGTGTTGTAAGACTACGGGGTGGCCCATAGTATTCACTAAGATTGATAGGCAGTAGTAAAAGTGTTGTAAGACGGCGGGTGACCCGTAGCATTAACTGGATTGATAGCCAGTGGTAGAAGTGTTGTAAGACTGCGGGGTGGCCTGTAGCATTACCTAGGTTGGCAAGCATTTGTAGAAGTGTTGTAAGACTGAGGGGTGGGCTGTAGCATTAGCTATAATGATAGGCAGTGGTAGAAGTGTTGTAAGATTACGAGGTGACTCGTAGCATTCACTAGATTGGCAGGCAGTTATGGAAGTGTTGTAAAGCTGTGGGATGGCCCATAACATTCACTAGGTCGAACAGTTGTTACGGGAAATGTTGAAAGTTCACAATATGGCTAGCAGCCTTTAATGGGTTGATTTAGACCATTGGAGCCTTGCAGGGATGGTTGTGAGACTGTGGGAGGGCCACAACCTTTTTAGGATGTAGGAAGGTTATTGCCCGATTTGGAGAGGGGTGTGATGTAAGACTATGGTTGGGTTGGTAGTTTTCATTAGTAGTGAATTGGGCTAGCTAGTGTTCATGAGATGGAGTGTAGTCGTTATGGTTATGATTCGGAATGATTATGTCTATTTGGGAGTCAGACATGGTTTTGGGGTTTTCGGATTTTGGTCTGAGTAGTGAGGGTTACTCTTCATTGGTCAAGGTTAGTGTGACAAGGTTCGTTCTTTGTTAGAGTATGTGATTTCTGCTAAGAATGGGTTTTAATTGCAGTATTAGAAGTCAATCATATATATGAGATGAC